TCTAGCAGACAGTGCACTCTCTTTCCAATAAAAAGGCTTCCTGGGTAAACTGCACTTGTGTTACAAGAATTTTGAAGTATATATACTATTACTGGTATAGAAAGAGGAGGGGAGATTTTTTTTTTCAGTGTATGATTGTAATTTATACTTGCCATTGGAGTGGAACAATTTCGGGTAGCATAGAAAAGAATAAAGAAACAAGTAAAACCGAAAATCCCATTACTTAGAGGTAAAAGCATCGTTTAATAGATATCCTTTCAGGCTTCATAGATAGAAGTGTTTAATTTTTGAAGTGGGATTGTACTATATGAGTCTTTTGGTAACATTCTGTTTTCCTATATCATTTGTACGCATCTTTTTGTGGTAATGTAGATCTTTGTTACTTTCTATAATTGCATTGCATAGATTTATCTAATTATTCAGTCAAATTCACATGGATTTTAAAAGACATGTCTAACAACTTGATTATATTTTTATACTGTGGGAAAGTACCTTTAAATACATTGGAGTAGAACTCTGAGATTAACTAAAGGTTAACATTCACATTAAAATTTATATGTACCTTATTAATTAAGTCTAATTTCACTTAGACTTTGTTCTTCACCTTTGTGATTCATCTCACAAGTAATTATATACTTATACTGTCCCTATTCATTAAGCAAACACATATGTAGCATTTTGAAGAACTTCGGTATGCTGAGCCTTCAGTTTGGTAGCATACATGGTGAATGAGTTTATCAGTAGAAAATCTGGGTTCTTGTTCCATTAGTAAGTGCTCTACCACTTAATAAATGTTATTTGGGCCCAGTCATGTAAAAACTGGGTTTCACTTGTCTGAAAGGCTACCTTTCCTTCTGTTTTGAGAATTGAAACAAATAGGTTACAGTGTTTGGCATTATGTATATATTCAATAAAAGGTTGATTTAGGAAATGAAGGTGTGGAGATTGGAGAATGTAGATTAGCAATCTAGAGAACATGTCTAAAGCATCCATCAGGCTTAAAATGCTTTTCAGAATTAAAAAAAAAAACCTCATACATTTACAATAATGATATAGTTTTATAGTTGCTTGCAAAATTACAAGAATTTGTATTGGGCATTTAAAGTATTTTTAGAAAGGCTCTGCTCAAAAGAGACTAGTATGAATAAAAGTGTTTACACCTCTCTCTTTCCCAAAATCTAGATCTATAAAGGAGATTAAAGGGGATTATTTAAAAAAAAACAAAACAAAACTTTAAGATGTTGATGGACCTTTTTTTTAATTCATTTATATGTGGTGCTGAGAATTGAACCCAGTGCTTCACACTTGGTAGGCAAGCATTCTACCACTGAGCCACAACCTCAGCCCTAAAGGGGATTATTTTACATCTAAGCTAAAATTATGTTTGATACAGATGAATACTAGTGATAAAACCTCCTTGATCTGGATCCATTGAGAGGAATTGGAATGTAGAACTGAGGTATGTCTTTGTGCTATGATTCATGTTAGTTTCTGAAGGGAAAAGAGAAATTAGATGACTAATGTCTTTTATGAATTATTAAACTGAAATCCAGGAGGGGAGGAATCTTACCAAAGCTACATGATTGCAGAGCTTACTAGGATGTAAGCTTACTAGCCCTGTTTCTTTAGGTTTCCTAGATGCCTATGTGAGTCTCTAGAATCACAGTACTGATTTTTTTTTTCTCCTTCTGTGTTCATTTATAGAATGCACAGATTAGATAACTAATTCTTATCTAGTCTTCAAGCCTCTTTGAATAGTCTCTGGTTAGCCATTAATAGTCTCTGGTTAGACATAATTAATGGTCTGAAGCCAGTGATTTCATAATCATTTTTTAAAACAATGATCAGGAATAGTGAATACATCTGCATTTGTTTTAGGTTCTCATCAATAATGATTCTGAAGATTAATGAATATTTTTGAGCACTTCGAGTACCGTTTTTATAAAGTGGCATTTGTTCAAATTGAAATAGATTTGAGGTATGCCTTACCTGCTGATTCATTTAGGCTGTCAACTTTTATGTACCCAGTAATAGTGAAAGCTTAGATGTAAGTTTTAAAATTCTTTTGTCTGTGGTTACAGTGTAACACAGAAGATCATTAACTTAGAAGTTAATCCTAAATTTGAAAAAAAAATTTAATGCACTTACTATTTAAATTACCTAGATGAGAAAAGTGATAGTGATTATGGTGATACCAATAACAACAAATAACAGCCCTGACATTAAGAATTTATTGTATGCTGATGACCTACATTAAGTGCTTTATATTATTAATGAAAAAATTCACTATCTAACTAAATCACACCTCAGTGAGATCATTTTATTTATTTATGTATTTATTTTTGGCAGTGCTGGGGATTGAACCCAGGGCCTCACGCATGCCGGGCAAATGCTGTACCACTGAGCCACAATCCCTGCCCATCGTTTCTATTTTTATACACTATTTTTTTTTTTTAAGGTTAAAGAGACTCAGGTATAGAGGGCTTTAGTGACTTGCGTAAGGTTATGAAGCCGCTGTTGGAGTCCAGGAGATCCAGCTCTTGAACCTAAATTCTGTGTTTGTTACGCACAAACCACGATTATGGCATTTCTGGAGACCTTCATAGCCAAGAATGATCTTTTGGGTTGGGGTACAGGGGATTGAAGCCAGGGATACTTTACCACTGAGCTATATCCCTGATTCCTTTTTTTAAAAAAATATTTACTTTTGGTACTGGGGATTGAATCCAGGGACACTGTACATCTAAGCTACTACCCCTAGTCCTTTTATTTATTTTGAGACAGGATCTCACTGAGTTATTGAAGCTGGCCTCAAATTTTTGGTCCTTCTGTCTTTAGCTCTCAAGCTGCTGGAATTATAGGCATGTGTCACCATGTCCAGCAAGAATTATCTTACCAAGGGCCCTCTTGGTAAGACAGCCTCTTTAACAGTGCTAGGGGAAAAAAATGATAATAATTATCAGAACCACTGCTGGCATAAATTAGCCCTGTCCCTTCAGGTTTCCTAGATCCCTCTGCATTTTTAAAGACCAGCTGAGTTTCTCTTTATTTCAGTGTTTTAAAATTTCTTCCAGTTTTTTCTGTTCCTAAGTTCTCATCACAATGCAGTTCTTTGTTTTATTATGCCTTTATTGACTTGTTTTTACATATCTTACCATCTTTTCCAGGCTTGTACCATTCTAGAGTTGGATAGGCCTTTAAGAAAAGTCCATTTTCCCATTGTCAGGTTTTCTAACTTATTCTAGTTAGTTGAGTTTCTTGAACAGTATCACCTCAGTGTTTGCTGAATTTTAGGAAAGAATTAACATTGCTATTACCTTTTTATTATTCATAATGTCATTTTGACAACATAGACTACTTCAAGTTCTGGTCAGTCTTGGACATGCTATTGTATTGGTACAATAGGAAAAACTAGTTGCATACATCAAAACTGAAGTAGATGTTTTAGGCAGGGTCAGTTACAAACCAGTTGAGGAAGGCTTAAAATCAAAAGTCTGAAACTTTTATTTTTTAATGTTATAAACTGCTGCTCTGTGCTAAAACAGAGTGATGGACACTTAAAATACCCAGGGTCCTACACATGGTAGGAATGCTTTCTACCACTGAGCTACACCTCCAGCCCCAATTAAAATATCTGAAATCAGTACTTGTGGTGTATACTCACAGGAATTAAGGACTTTGTAATGATAATCCAATATTTTATAGTTCACATAAATAGTTTTCTCTACAAAACTACTCTTAACAGTAGTGCTGGGGATGTGGCTCAAGTGGTAGTGCGCTCACCCTGGCATGCGCGGGGTGCTGGGTTATATCCTCAGCACCACATAAAAAAATAAAATAAAGATGTTGTGTCCACCAAAAGTACTCTTAAGAGTAAAGGGAAGCCATATATACCTGGGATACCTAGGGATCAAAGCCAAAGCAGTCCCTAAAAATGTGTTTGTTTTTAATGTTACCCCTTTCATTTTAAAATTAACAGGTATTAAAAATTGCACTCAAGTGTATCTGAATTCATTTTACTGTAAAAATGCTAATTGATCAAATTGTTATGTGCATGTATGAATGTCACAGTGAATCCCACTATTGTGTGTAATCATAAAGATAATAAATCAGAAAAAATATTTTCTTCTAGTTACAATCCAGAGGGGGATGGTTTCATTAGCCTGTGAATTCAAGAGTCTGTTGCACAGTGCAGAATTATCCTTGGGTTGAGCTAACCGGATCTAGAGACCACAAGCATACAGTTATTTGATCCTAATAGTGGGCCTGTGACCATGGTCCAAGAGATGACTTGCTAAGTTAGGCTTTGTCTGACTCCTTACTATTAATAAACATTGTATAACAGTGTTAACAAATGTAGGTTTTCTTTGACTCCAAAATTTTTATGCCATTCTAAAAAAAAAAAAAAGTAGCTTTTTAGGTATCTAAAGGTGGTTTCCCCTTCTTTTGCTCTATAGGAAACTTTGTTAATGATAGATTGAGTTATAATTTTAAGGTTCTCAAAGAGGGATCATAAAAGAAGAGCTGTAGATCTCAGATGAGTAGATTTAAATAAGGGTTCAGTTTCATTCAGTTTCTCAACATTTTTTGAATTAGTGATTCTACATTTTTGTATCACTGAAATTTCTCATTTTAGTACTTCTTAGCATTTTTCTATTACTTGAATATATATCATGCTTGTATGAAGAAGACGACCTCAGAATGATTATAAGTAACCTCTTATTTTGCATAAGAAGTCTGCTGGACCTCATACATTTGAAATCTTTTTTGGAAGAGGGTACAGTACCAAGGATTGAACTCAAGGGCACTCAGCCCTATTTTGTATTTTATTTAGAGACAGGGTCTCACTGAGTTGCTTAATCCCGAGCTGCTGGGTTTACAGGTGTGTACCACCATACTCAGCGCCTTTTGTATATTTTTGTAGGTAGAATTAATATAAATGTGCAAAATCCAAATGGATAAAATAATGTTCTCATTTAAAATTTCTTTTTCCATTTTAGTTGTTGACCTCCTCTACTGGAGAGACATTAAGAAGACTGGAGTAGTGTTTGGTGCCAGCTTATTCCTGCTGCTTTCATTGACAGTATTCAGCATTGTGAGTGTAACAGCCTACATTGCCTTGGCCCTGCTCTCTGTGACTATCAGCTTTAGGATATATAAGGGTGTGATCCAAGCTATCCAGAAATCAGATGAAGGCCACCCATTCAGGTGAGATGTCTGGAAAAATGAGGCATACGTTGTCAACTATGTAAATAGGATCAATATTAATACTTTAGTCTACTACCAGCTGTAGATTCCAGACATGTGTGTTCTTTACTGTTTAAAGGTAATCGCATACTCTAAAAGCACTTGTTTTTTTGAGATTTCCTAAAGGTTACATTGAAAGACTTATGGTGAAAAAGACTTTGTGTAAGCATGATTAGCTAAAAACTCTACTTGTTAGGAAGTCTACTTTAATGGAAAGTGTATCCTTTAACATGATTATCGTGGAAGGGTTATATTTTCTTTATTGCTATTTTTTATACTCTGATATAATACTTATTTTTCATAACCTTTGCTTACCCTTTCATAGCCATATCTTTTCTAACCATTCCTTCTCTATTTGGTTTCTTCTCCTCATTCCCCAAGGCATTACTTATTTTTATTTTTTGGAGAGTTTCTTTTTTCAGCATCTCCTTGTTGGTATCAACTATTAATCTTATGCCCTTATTTTCACAAATCCAACCTAACATTATATATCTAGTTACTATTGAAACACTTCTTTTTTTAAAAAAAAAATATTTATTTTTTAGATATAGGTGGACACAGGTTCGAACCCAGTGCCTCATGCATGGTAGGCGAGCACTCTACCTCTGAGCCACAACTCCTGCCCTTGAAACACTTCGTGACTCGAGTATTATGTTCTCAGTTGATACTCCACATTTTTACTCACTTTTTAAGTTGAGATACAACTCAGGTATTATAAACTTCAGTGGTGTTAATTCTTATTTTATTTTGGTACTAGGGATTGAACCGATGGCCTTGTGAATGCTAGGCAAGAGTTTTGCCATTGAACTACATCCCCAGGCCTCAGTGGTGGTTTTTAATGTATTTGGAGTTGTATAATCACCATCTAATTCCAGAACATATTCATCACCCTAAAAAGAAACTTCATATTTATTAGCAATCAATCCCAAAGTACCCCTTTTATAACTATTAACTCATGTGTCTTTAAATTTTTTTCTTCAAAGTTGTTAACCTGTATCAGCAACACCACTATCATTCTGGTTTTTAAGATCCCAGTTTTGATATTATCTTTGTTTTTGTCTCATGTAAGGAAGATTACTAAATTTTTCATTTCCTGCTACTCCCTTAGTTCAAAACAGGAGTCTGAAAACCATAGCCATGTCCAAATCCAGTCTGTGGGCTAATTTTATAAAAGTTTTATTGTTACACCACCATTGTTCATTTATTTAGTTGGTTTCATTCAAACTGAAATAGCAGAGTTTCAGTAGTTGTGATAGAGACACATATGGAGTACAAGGCCTAAAATACTGTTGGCCCTTTACAGAAGATCTGCCTACCTCTGGTTAGATTCATCTAACAGATGCACTTCTGATTAGCTCAGATTATTTTAACTCTTAGGGATGTTGTTAGGTTAATTTTTTGAAAATACTGCTTTTATCATGTTTTTAGGCACAGGACTCTTACCTTCACTATATGCTGAACTTCAGATATCTTTGTTACATTTATCCCTTCTGGGTTTTTGTGCCCATTTTTGTGTTGTCACTTTTTTTAAAATTTTTTTTTTTTTAGTTTTACATGGGCACAGTATATTTATCTTTATGTGGTACTGAGGATCAAACCTTGTGCCTCACATATACAAGGCAAGTGCTCTGCCACTAAGCCACAACCTCAGCCCTCATGTTGTCATTCTATATTCCCCAGTGTTCCACTGTATCATACTTTTTTATTTGATTCTGATTTAAGACCCAGTTCTTTGAAGATTTCCCTAATCTTGACCCAAAAAGACCTGAGAATTCCTTTTTTAATGTATTAACCGTGGCTTTGAAATGTTCTTTTAATTGTTTTATACCTGGACAAGATTTTTTTTTAAATAGGTTTTGAGCATTTAAAAACTATTTTGGTGCTGGGCATGGTGGCACACTCGTAATCCCAGTGAGTTGGAAGGCTGAGGCAGGAGGATCACAAGTTTAAGGCCAGCCTCAACACCTTAGAGAGACCATAAACAAGTTAGTGAGACCCTTTCTCAAAATTAAAAAGGGGCCAGGGATGTGGCTTAGTGGTTAAGCACCCCTGGGTGTAATCCCACAAATGCCAGTTAAACTAATGTAAATGCAAGATGCATTGATGGACAGTACTGTTTTGGTTAGGTAGCTTGTTTTTAGCAAGAACTAGCAGCATTGGTACAAAGAAGCAGTAATCCAGCCAAGGTTATATCGGCCAATTTTCTGTATTGCACAAAAATGTATAAATTACTGGTAGTTTAAAGATTGATATGACTTTTTGAGAATTTTAACTTGATTATTAATAAATATCAATGGTTTAACGCTGTTCCAAACCATTGTACTAGTAAAAAGTCATTTTTAAACTGTACTCAACAGTTTATATGCTAGTAGGAAAAATATGCAAATATATGCATGTCTATAATTCAGGGATGGTTATAGTAGATACAGGTAGGACTAATACAGAAGAAGGACTTGTTCAGGGTACACAGGTCTTATGGAATCAAGTATTAGATGAGGCTTCCTGTTTGCTGGGATATGAGATGAGTCTGTCTAACTGGATAAGCATCCTGGATTGGGAAAACAGCACGATAACCCAAAGACATTAAGGTTAAAACATATTTAGTATATTGGTTGCAACACATAGTGTAGTGGGAAGAGAGTTTGGAAAGACAATGTTGGCTCTTTGACTGAAATGTTAGAGCCATATAATCACAGAATGTTTGAGCCTGAAGGAACCTAGAAAGGTCTACTCCTAATTTCCTGAGTTTGAATCTGATCCAGTGAAGTTAAGTGCCTTTTGCAAGTTTATGTAGCAAGGTTGTAGCAAGTATCCTAAACTCCTACTGAAACAGCACTCTTTGGATAGCTTGCTCAAATAAGGCTAATCTGGCTGGGCTGATAATAAAGATTAGGCTGGAGACCACTCGGAGACTGGTTTGGATACTGATAAGAGTATTTCAGTTTGTTAATAGAGTGATGACACTATAAATAAAAACAAGGAGACATATTTAGGCATATTGCAGAAATGAAACTATGGGACAAGAACTATTATTTCCAGTTGTAAACAATTGGCTTCCCAGATGGTGGGGAAGTGATAAGGAGGGACTAGATATGGAACTGCATCCAACAGATAGGAAGAAACATCTAGCACTTCTGATTGGGTTCCACTTATCCAAGATAAAAAGGCTTCTTTGAAATATAGCTAACGAAACAGTTTCTTGCATTCCTGTAGACTTGACTCCTCCTACTTCTTAGAGATGTAGTTGCCTTTTTTTTTTTTTGGGTACCAAGGATTGAACCCAGGAGTTTTATTTATATTTTATTAGAAATAGGATTTTGCTGAGTTGCTCAGGGATTTTCTAAATTGCTGAGGCTGGATTTGAACTTGGAATTCTCCTGCCTCAGTTTCCCGAGTCACTGGGATTACAGGCGTGTGTCACCATGCCTTGCTTATAGTGGTCTTCTTGAATTTAATAATTCCAGCCCTATTGGTATAAATTAGGGCAGTTAGATGGACAGTAAATATTTAAACTGGGATTGCTACTATACTTTAGCAGCCATTTTACAATCTGGTACTTAACATTTAGGAGTTTCCCATAAAGAATAGGCCAAGAGAATGTAGAATTTGGAAACGAATAGGATCTTTGATAGGAAAATTTGTTGACAAAATGATATTCAGTTTTTAAAAATCAAACCCAGGGGCTAGGGATATAGCTCAGTTGGTAAAGTGCTTGCTTTGCATGTACAAGGCCCTGGGTTCAATCACCAGCACAACCAAAAAAAAAAAAAAAAAAAAATCAAACCCATACTAATAAGTACCATTTACTGAGTTACTCTTTGTGCTCAATTGTGTTAAGCATTTTTATTCATTGAATCTTCATCATGACAATCTCATTTTTAAATGTAAAGTTTGGGAAGATCAAATAAACACTAAAGTTACATAGCCAAATAAGTGGCAGAGCTTGATTCAAGCTCAGATTGGTCTGATAGTGTATGTATATTATGCTTAATGTGCAAACAATAGGCTTTTTGGGGGGAGGGGGTGGTACATGGAGAGTACTGTCTTTCTGTATTTTGGTCAGGTAGCTTATTTTTGAACCAAGACCTTGCACATGCCTCAAATTTTTGGTTCTCCTCCCTATCTGTGATTATAGATATACATGACCTCCAAGTCTAGTAGGATATTTTATTAATCTTCTTTTACAGACATATAATTGCTATTGATATTGAAGACAAATCCCTCCAGTGACAATTGTGTGTTTTGCTTTCTAGGGCTTATTTGGAATCTGATGTTGCTATATCTGAGGAATTGATTCAGAAATACAGTAATTCTGCTCTTGGTCATGTGAACTGCACGATAAAAGAACTTAGACGCCTCTTCTTAGTTGATGATTTAGTTGATTCTCTAAAGGTAAATTTATTTTGCTTTTCATTTTTGACATACCAAAATTTAATATCAAGAATTGAGTATAAAATTGTTTTTCTGTATTAAAATAAATGATTCAGATATAATGAAATCACATTAGTGTGAACTTATGTTTTAGAATGTAGTATCTAATCACGTTTTGAGTGGAAGAATGTGCTATTTATTTTTCAAATAACTTCATAGTTTGGGAAATTATATGAATTAAGAGTGGGGGGAAAAAGTTGGATTTTGATTAAAAATAAAGATTGTTTAGGGGCCAGGGTTGTGGCTTAGTGGTTGAGCATTTGCTTAGCATGTGTGAGGCACTGGGTTCAATCGATCCTTGGCATCACATTAAAAAAATAAATAAATAAAAATAAATAAAATAAAAAAGGTATTGTGTCCATCTACAATTAAAAGTATTTTAAAAGATTGATTGTATTAGATTTTAAAAAGTTTAGTACCTAGTCTTTTAGTTTTTATGGGATTTATACATGCACATAAGGTACTTCATATCTTGAACTGTCTCTTCAAGTGTTTATTCTGGAAAATATTTAATGTTCTATTATGCCTCAGCTAATTTTGGTTGAATTGCTGGAAATTTGTCTTTAGTTATTGGATCTTGCTACATAGCATGTTAAGAATCTCATCTTACAAATAAACTTTCCCAAAGTTATGACTTTACTTGAAACAATTAAACCACAATCATATAACTTGAACCCCCCAAGTACTGAAACTATTAATTTTTCCTTCACATAGAACATGTCATTTGTGGTTTGTGTGCTGTGTGCCAATAACTCAGCTTAAAACAGACTAAATCCTTTTTGATCTAAGCCTGAGTAGAAATGTTGTATGCTGCTAATTCTTTTATTTTCAAGAGAAATGCTCTAGTTTACAGTTTTACCCTGCAATTCATAATGCTGGACCGGTAGGATTGGGGCTTTAGATTCAGAACAATTTCTGAAGTGTTCAGGATAGTTTCAAATGCTTAAATGTGCTTTTCTTTTTTAAATAAACATTTTAGCTTTCATAAACTTGTAGATTATACATTATTTTTAGCTGTGTGCTTCTCTTATTTTAGACTTGAAACCTAAGTAACTAATGATATCAACAGTAAATTACTTGGTTTTCTTTTATCACACATTGTCTCTTTTGTTTAGAATGGTTGCATTTAGTAATGTTTTAAAATGATCTGATGTCAGTCTGTAAATAAAAAGATGACAGTATGTCATTTACCATGTGTGATTAATTAGTTTCAAAACAGAATTAAAATATTTTGGAGTTAAATACAATGAAACTTCGTATACTTAGTCTAGAAGAAATTGATGCCTATCAAAGTGATATTTGCTGTAGATGGTTTAACTGTTGGGTTAGAACGTGGGTAAAAAATCATTGAGGAGGTACTGGTGCAGTTTAAGGTGGAGAGTTTGTGGGTAGGAATTGATTAAAGTTCTGCTGTTTATAACAGTGTTTCTTCTTAAACAGCAGAGGTCCATCTCTGAATTTGGTTGGGGAAAGGTGACTTCAAACAATGTCATCATGAAGCATGAGAGAGGTGACATAGCCATTGTCTTTATAGGCCTTGTTTGCCCAATACAGTTAGTAAATGCCGCTATATGTCTGTAATTTAGTGTTTTTCTTGAGGGGAGAGGCATTCTTGGAAGAACACTATTTAAAAACCAAGTAAATAAATTGATCAGAAAATGAATTTTATATATTCCAGTTTTTATAAATTTGAGAGTAAAGTTTCCATGTGTCTTTAGTCAAAAGAAAACTTACTTGATCTTTCGGAGAAAGTGTATTGTCATCTATTACACAGTCCTATCTGTAGACAGTTATATAGGCATGGGAATATTTGTCAAAGGGAAGGGGAAATGAGAAAATGGTAGAGGAAGGCTGATTTAGACGCTTACAAAGACTTTTAAATCTGTTTTTAAAGATATTTGAAAATAGAATATGAGGAAGTTTCATGAGTAAACTGCATGGGGTAGTTTCTTTTTTGTTGTTAAATATAATTTTAAAATTTCTTTTGAAAATTGTCTTTTTTTTAAAAAAGCAATTATTTCCAGGTGTGGTGGGTATAGTTGTAATCCCAGTTTACCCTAGTAGGCCAAGGCTCAGGAGGATTGCACGTTCTATGATAGCTTAGCAAATTTAGCAAGACCCTTTCTTGGGGTGGGGGTAGGCGGGGAGAGGTTTAAAGGGTTGGGTGTGTACCTTACAGTACACTGCTTCTGGGTACAATCCCAAGTACTGGGGGGAAAACACAACAACTAAACACTGAAGTTGATAAAGTCTTGCATTGGGTGTATTGAATGACATTGCTAATTTAAAATGACATTTATTTTCTGAAAGTCTTATTTTTGTATATTTCTAAAGCATTCTTTGTTTTTTTAATTGAAGAAAAAAGATTTACATGAATTGTACTTTGCTAATTTTTTTTTGAAAAGAGAAAATAAGAAAATTATGTTTTTTGGCAAGACAAGAGCTCAAGGAAAGTTGCTTGATGACTTACCCAGAAAGTGATTCATTTAGAACTCAATAATAGTTGGTTTATTATGTTAGCACATAAAGTTAACCTGGCATTAGGTCTCAATCTGTTGAGATAAAAGTATAAGGTGGGGTATCTGTTTCTTTCTCACCATGCAAAGACAATGGTAATTTAAGTGCACAAAGGGACTTCCTTGATGATTTTGTAATTCTACTACACAAGAATTTATTTAAACCTTTTCTTGCTACTGTTTTTGTATGTGAATAGTATTTCTAGAAAATATAGTGGAAATTTTATTTAGAAAATATATATTGTATCAAGCCCTGTGGCTTAGATAAAATAATAGCTTTTAAACAAAAATTTGAAAGCAATTTCTCTAACTCATTGCCTTGATAAATGCAAGACATTTTGGCTCCCTCAAATTTATATGACCTACATTTTTAGATTCTGGGTCACAGTTACAATTTCTGTTTGAAATCTTGCTCAGAAATTAAATTCTTACTAGCATGTGAGACTTTTTCATACTTTCTCTCCCCAGCAATATGAGGGAAGAGGCTGTTCTTTTAAGTGTGATCAAAGAAGTAATTGCAGGCTCATCAGTTCTAAGACCTGACATTAATTTGTAGGCATTACGGTGCTTGGGAACAGGTTTCTTGGTGGTTGACATTGAGTACATAAAAATGTGTTCTGTAGATTTCTTCTTTAAAATTGTGTGATAGTTCCATTTGTTTTACCCCTTGAAATTAGCTACAATCTTCGAAGTCCTAGAAAAGATTTTGAGTGTCCAGAGGTTGAGCATCAATACATTTTCTAGTTGGACAGTATAGGAAAAATCACTGGCAAAATATCTATTCTTCAGTTCAGTAGAACTTAGTTCAAACATTTAATAGTATAAAATTTTACTGCAGCTAAATGTTTTGACCCTACCCCAGAATTTGTTTTAAAAGTTGTATTTCTTAAAGTGGGTATGTTCCATTAATTGCCTCTCATAAAGTTGATGGAAATGAATATTGAAGGGACAAGGAGAAATGTCCTTCAGTAATAAGTTGAGAGAGCTGTGCATGTGTTCCCATCCCAGAGTCTAATGTATATAGTCAGTCTGTGAGAAGTTGGAAAGAGATTGGATAACTTTTTGATCTAGTGATATTTGTCAGATTTTGTGAGATTTAAATGGTATGATAGTTGGAACAAATTTAAACCACCTACTTAAGTTTAATCCATTTCCTGTGATTAATCTGTGTCAGAATCTTTGATAAGGAATCTATTTAAAACAATGGTTCTTAGTCTTGGCTGCACGTTGGAATCACCTGGGGACTTATAAAATTAAAAAATAAATGGGAAAATGGCAGGGCAGAGGGTCCCATTCCTTGAAACTGATTTTCTCTAAGTGTACTGCCTGGAGAATCACTGTTTTGGCAATAGCTCTAAAACTGGATTATTCCCCCAACCAACCCCCATTTTAAAATGATGATAAGTCTTTACTGGGCTCTGCTTTGGGGCCAATTGAGGGAAGTTACATGCTTTATTTGAAAGCCCAAATTCCAAGAAGTCATCTAATAGTTTTACAATAAACCAAGACTAGATATTTTCTGCACAGGTTCTTATGTTTCTGTAATGTGGCTTAAAGACTATACCTTTCAATGAAAAATTTTTGTTAAAATTGTATGAAAATTTCTAGCTGTAGCTGACTGATATGCAATTGTAGTGTTCTAGGATATAATCTTCAATCTGAAAGCAAGTAAAAGGCCTGAGCTCCAGAAATAGTTGACCCAAAAGAATGTTAAAATCTAGCCCTTGGGCATTTATGCTGCTGTTAAGGTACACATTTTGACAATTTTCTGTGAGATTTCTTTGACTCACAGAAAAATTAAAAGGGAAATACACTGCCAATGTAGAGACAAATACTAATGAATAAGTCTGAAGTTTCATAAAAGGCCAAATAATTTTTAGTGTTTAAGAATGAAGAAAGTTTCGAAATTGTCAGAATTGCCAAAGTAATATCTGAAATTATTAACATCGCCTTTCTCCATTTTCTTTAAAAATTCCCTCTCCCCCCATTTGAGACATCATAACTTTGCAGACCTCTTAATCATTTGTGTGATACATAGTTAATTACTTTACTCCCACAGAAGAAAGGCAAATAAGACACAGCTGTCCTTGCCCTTTTTCAGTGTTTCTTATTTCTTAGATCTTCATCTTTGCATATTTCACCTCTGCCCAAAGGAGAGGTGAGCTTTGACTTCCAGTTAATGCTTATTTTGGCCATAATGCTGCAAAGTATTTGCAATAGAATGGCCTAGAGTCGATTGTTCAAAATTTTTTTTTTTTTTTTTTTGCTACCAGGGATTGAACTCAGGGGCACTCAACCACATCCCCAGCCCTATTTTGTATTTTATTTAAAAACAGGGTCTCCACTGAGTTGCTTATCAGCATCTCGCTGTTGCTGAGGCTGGCTTTGAACTCACAATCCTCTTGCCTCAGCCTTCCAAGTCACTGGGATTACAAGTGTGTGTCATCGCACCAGCTCCATGCTTCTTTAAAGTTGTGTTTATTGGTGTTGAGGTGGTGATTCAGGGGAGTGCTTGCCTCGCACACGAAGCACTGGGTTTGTCCTCACACCACATAAAATAAAGGTATTATGTTTATCTACAACTGAAAAAAGTTTGTGTTCATTGAATTTTTTTTTCCTGCCTCATTATGGTACTATGTACATTTGTTATGGATTCTCACTAATAACTGGTTACTCTGTAGGTGACTTATAGAACAGCAGGTTCTGGAATTGGATATACTGGAGATCACTGAGATCACTATGACCTAGCTAACAACTTTTTTTATTTTTTATTTTTTGGGTGTAGATGGACACAACACAATGCCTTTATTTTTATGTGGTGCTCAGAATCCAGCGCTCTACCGCTGAGTCACAATCCCAGCCCTAGCTAACAACTTTCTTAATCTTTCTACCTTGTCTCTTCTAGAAAGATAACACTATTTAATGTTTGGGTTAATTATGATAACTGACCAATGCATATAAAACACATCAACTATCTTATAAAAATGTTTAGAAAAAAGTTAGTCACTTTTGTTATTATGTAACAGTTCCAGTAATTATGCAAATGGTAGAATGCTAATTCTTAACTGAGACCTCCTTTTTCTTATTGTTTTTGTTTTGGGAAGAGAGAGAGTTATTAAATTTTCTCCAAATGTAGCTATAACATTTACAACTTCTGTGATAGCATATAAAAATGTTTATTTCTCGTTTTCTTTTCTTACAATGGGAAAATTTGGCAACATTGGCCTAGAACACTTGGATATCCCTTGTTATGGAGCTGGGTTGTGGGTGCTCCTTGATAAGGACAGTACATATGCTCTCTCATCCAGCTTTCCTTGTGCAGCCCAAGGACTGCAGGACTTTTGAGGCCTGCCTCTGTTTCTTGCCTCTGGATAGCCTGGCTCTTAACAAGTGTCCTCAAAATGGCAAATAACATTTATAGATGACCTAGGTGGGAAGTCTTGAGCTTCTCTCCTTGTGGAGTTGGAGTGCAGCCTGGTCAGTGTCAGTAACTGTGATGATCAAATTGGTAGCATGCACATGCTAAAAATAAGCCCTATCTGAATTCTGTCATGGTAAAGTTATCTGTATTGCTAAAATAATTTCTTCTAAAATGTGGAAGGTGATTTTTTTTCTCTTTAGACGAATGGATTGTGGTGGATGAAAACAGCTCTCTAGGTATATAGTAACTTGTCCAGGTAAAAAAGTTGTTAGCAACTTTCCCTATCGAATAGTTGTCCTTTAAACCTTTCTACTGTCTCAGAAGCTATCTAAGAACAGGGAGGCATTTTTATTATTTTCAGTCGACAGATGAATGCCTGATTTTCTTACTTAAATAGTAGTTGAATTCAGTTTGTAGGGGTTATCAAAGTGTTACTTTTGGTAGAACTGACAGTTTGTAGAAGAATCCAGTGGGCCTTCCTAACCTGAAGTGTGTTCACTCAGATTTGAACACCTTAATTAATGCTCAGTACCCAACTCATAGTAGGCAGCTTTTGTTGAATGAATGAATGAATATGTTACGAAAGATAATATTTTAGATCAAAGGTTAGAAACTAGTGTCTCTTCAGCCCAATATCTAGTTTTGTACAGCCTGAGAGCTAAGAATGGTGGCTCAGAGCCACCATTAAGAGGTTGTTAAAAGAACAACAATACAAAGAATATGAATTAGAGACCCTAAAATGCCCATAAAACCTGAAATTTTTACTGCCTGGCTCTTTATGGAAAAAGTCTGCTGATTCCTGGTTTAGATAACGGAAATGCTAACTATTCTCCTTTTCATTTATACTGTGTTAGATGCACACCAGAATAATCAATGTAGATGGTGGCATCATTGTGATATGTTTGTCACCTACTTAAACAGGTCAGAGTGATTGCCAGATGCTTTGTATTAGGAAGCACAGTTAATTGCAGATGATGAGTATTTAATAAAATTCAGACTAACTTGTGCTTATAAGTTTTCAAGAGCTATTTTTGAACATGTCATTGAACCTTTGTATTATATGATGTCATGAAATTTTAGAACTGGAAGAAAACTTTCAAATCTTGTCTAACCATTTAGAGAGTATGGAGTTGAAAGGAAATAAAGGATGTCTCCAAATGAAATTACTTTTCAGAAGCAAAGCTTTTAAACCCCAACTGTTTCATTTGATGATTAAAAAAAAAACTCAGATTTTGAAGCCAGGAGTACTAAACATAGAGTTTGGTCAGTTTTTTGCAGTCATCAGCCCCTGAACAGGACAGTGGAATCTAGTTGCTATAATCTGACATCAGACACGTTGTTAAATCTGTCTTCTATTGTCTGCATCTGCTAAGGTAATGGTAATGATCTCATAAGGGTAAGAGGGCTAAAGGAATTTATAAAGTAGTAAATAGTACATTTGTAAAGCATATATTAATATTTGTTAAAGGCACCAGTGGTTAAAATAATAATGGTCAGTTTTATTAATAGGTATAAAAGTATGAGGAGTCCTCCTTCCCAGGATTAATTATGGCCCTTAAACATTCATCACTGGGCAGACAAGTACCTGATCCTTAAAATTCTAGAGGTAATATTTTTGGTACCTGAAGTCTAGTTTCCCAGATAAGTACTCCCTGTCCCATCATTGCTCATCAGATGTGTGTGTGTATATATATATTATAATACACGTTATATAAAATATATCTTCAAGCACTTTTGTTAGTACTTTGAAACCAACTTTAATAGTTAAGCCTTGTCAGTTTCCCCTTTCAAAAGCTAAATAACTTCAGAGGTAAATGAATATTAGAGCTGGAGGTAAGAGATTATCTTTGGCATGTTTTCTGATTTCAGAGGAACAGAAATCTACCCACCACCACCCCCCAAAAAGATAATTGTTATTGAATTGAGGCTGGTGACTTGGAGTCATTGAAATATATGTGTTTAGAGTATGTGCTATACCTCTAGTATGTAGGCAGTTTAGACAGATGCTTTTTGAGGAAATGTAATTACAAAACTTTACTTGAATTATGCTTATAATAGGCTTTTGTTTTCTTATAGTTTGCAGTGTTGATGTGGGTATTTACCTATGTTGGTGCCTTGTTCAATGGTCTGACACTACTGATTTTGGGTAAGTCTGCAAAACTATTGGAATAAAAAATTGCAGTGCAAAGAGCTTAAGACATTGTAGTGTAGAATATTCTTAAAGATGATGTAAATTTGAGGTTGTGATATCTTTAAATAGGTGAACAGATACTATATTTATTGAAATACTATTTTAGTTCCTGAAGACTGCTCCACCTAACTAACCATGTAAACCAGAAAATGTGTAGCCTTACCTGATGGTGCAGTCACAAGTCTAATCCAGAATTCCTATATTTCAAAAAACAAAAAAACAAAACAACAACAGTGTGATATGATTTGAAATTGAAACTAGGCATAGTTCCTATAGCTTCACTCAGGTAATTTGTTCCTCTGGAGTGGTACCTTAAATGCATCTTGTATATTTGTTTGTTCATTAGGAACACTGCCTGAGTGTTTCCAGTTTGATAGTTTAATGTTTGTACCCTAAATTGTTCTACTCCTTTAAAGTTTTGAATTTCCTTTTACAGCTCTGATTTCACTCTTCAGCGTTCCTGTTATTTACGAACGGCATCAGGTAATTTCTTAATTGTAACTTAAGAATACAGAGCTCACTTCAAAACTTTATAAAAAGCCTTTGTTGGCACTTAGTAATGCTTAAATAAGATACATCAGCAATGGTAATTTTCTAATAATCCTTTTTATTTCCATTTTCAGGCACAAATAGATCACTATCTAGGACTTGCATATAAGAATGTTAAAGATGCTATGGCTAAGTAAGTATAATCCGCAACTTTTCTAAGGATGAAGTGTGCTGGTTTGAAAATACTATAATCTTTTCATGTTACAGGCATAGTGAGTAGCAAATCTCCATCAGAGTGACAAGGGTTGGCAAAATATTTTTTCCTGATATTAACATCATTATTTTCTAGGTTTATTTAGGCATTGTTTAATCTGTGAGGCAAAGATAGAAAAATGATAGGTAATAATTTGGCAGCTTTACAACTTCCTTTCTTGTATAAGCTAAATAATATATAACTATCTGTGGGGAAAAGTACCCAGTGATGATAATATTTAGGAAACATAGCCATTTTTTCCTTCTTTATCCCAGTTAACTTGTACTTTAATGAAGCACTCAATTGCACTATGACCTTCTTGAGTGAGGTACAACTTTGTTCCTCTGTTTTTTTAATATGCAAATGTGTGTGATCTTCAGTGTTTGCATTTTAAAACCAGTTTTCTGAAAAATTTCTATTGAAATAAAATTTTTCAAAAAAGATATTGTAATGATATTTACCTTGACCATTTTTCCCCTTCTTTTCATTTGTAGAATCCAAGCAAAAATTCCTGGATTGAAGCGCAAAGCTGAATGAAAAAGCCCAAAACAATTAACAGTAGTTCATCTTTAAAGGGGATATTCATTTGATTACATGGGGGAGGGTCAGGGAAGAATGAAACCTTGACATAGCAGTGCAGTTTCACAGATCTTTATTTTTAGCAATGCACTGTTTGAGGAAAAATTACCTGTCTTGACTGCCATGTGTTTATCATCTTAAATAAATTGTAAGCTGCTATGTATGGATTTAAATTGTAATCATATTTGTTTTTCCTATATGAGGCACTGGTGAATAAAAAGTAATCTGAGAAAACTGTATATTACACTTTGTTGCAGGAGTCTTGCTGTATTTGGGGGAAGTTGCAGAGAAGGTGGAGCAAGAATAAAACCCCTTTTCACAGTTTGTGCACTGTGTATGGTTGTGTAGATTGATGCAGATTTTCTGAAATAAAATGTTTAGATGAGATCATACCACTAAAGCAGGATTGAAAAAGCTTTGCCTTTTTGGTATGTTCTAGGTGTATTGTGAATTTTACTGTTATATTAATTGCCAATATAAGTAAATATAGTTTATATATTATCTATATATAGTGTTTCACAAAGCTTAGACCTTTACCTTCTGGCTGCCCCACAATGTGCTTGATATTTCAGTCATTGGTTATACATGTGTAGTTTCAAAGCACTTAAGCTAGAAAAAGAATATATTTCTAGGAGCACTACCATCTGTTTTCATCTTGAAACAATGCCACATACATAGAACTCCAAAATAAAACTTCATTGCACAAAACTTACTGTAGTTAATTTTGTCACAAACTCTGGGTCTATATGGACTGAATCTAATGCTTCCGAAAATGTTGTTTGCAAATATCAAACATTGTTATGCAAGAAATTATAAATTGAAGACTTACACCATTGTGGTTTAAGCTGTACTGAACTAAATCTGTGGAATGCATTGTGAACTGTAAAAGCAAAGTATCAATAAAGCTTATAGACTTAAAATGTGTTTGGTATTTTGATTTCATAAAAGTGTGACAGATTGTATACACAAAGGGTAGACTTTGCTTCAACCAGTTAGAGTGGCAATTTGTGCTTTTAGATCTAAGTTTCAGCTATATTTACTTCAAACAAAGGTCAAAGAACATGTTTACATAATCAAATTTATTTGACACCAAAATGTTTTTAAATTTTATACTTTGAAAATAAATTCATGCACCAATATTTTAACATGTAGAATACAGTGCAGGATTTATGAACATACATAAAATTATACCATATAAATGTTTACAAATAAGATTTAAGAAGTTTTCTTGACACAGACACTATTGCTCTTTAAATAGTTGTAGATATCATTTCCCAGTTCATTTTTTTGTCCACATGGTTATTTGAATACAAGATCAAATTCAGTATGAAAGGTCAGTAGTACAATATAGGCAGACATGGTTATCACTCAGCATCACCAGTCACATGGTTACAGAAAACAATTAGAACTGCATAGGGACTCTACTGTGGGCCCAACAACCTATTAGTGGATTAATGTAAGGCATTAATAAATTGGCATATAAAAATAGCTTAATGAGTAATCTAATCTTTTAGAATGCTGAAGCACTTCTGTGGGAGATGTTAATCTATTCTTTAATTGAAAATGCTTCATTTCACCTTTTCTCTAAACTGACAACTGCAAATAGCCAGGAACTCAAGTTTCAGAATTTCAGTGCACTGACTGACAGGACTAGTTGGCGTCTGTGCTTAGCCACCTTTCCTCTCAGTGATTGCTGTCAGCCCCATCCAACAGTTTGTGGTTGACCGTGTATAAGTTGACTTGAGGGGCTTCAGAGATGGCTTCAAATTAATATTGCCCAAACATATTCTGTTGGACAACTACCTCAGGAGCTCAAAGCTGAGTTATTTTTTTTTTTCATAATTTTGATTCAGCAAATATTCTTCAGACTTGGGACTCTGTTCTGTAGAATTTGAAAATCTGGACTTGACATAGTTCACCCAAACCAAATCAGTGGAGTTGCCTCGACCCCACTCCAACAGTGGTAAAAACCAAGGTGTAGCTTCAGGTCACCTCATGCATTACCATTTAAAGATTTAACAAGACAAATCAGTTCAATTCCATTTGGTCACACTTGAGTTTTATTTGTTTTCCTTTTCTGTTTTGTAATAGAGGTTTGTTTTACTTGATTTCTAGTTTGAATTTTGTAGGTTTGGCACTAATCTAATGAAAATTCATTCTACTTCCTACTGAACTTAAGTTCCTTTGCTGCTCACCTTCCTTATAACCACCATTTCTAAAGCAATTAACTGATGTCTGTCATTTACAAAGCCTTGACAAACACAGGACATGGATGACAGAGTGAATCTGCTAAGGGTCCTGCAGCCCTCCTCAGTTTTGAAGTTTTAGCACCATATGTAGAAAGGAGATAAACTTTGTGGGAGGTGAGACAGCAGCCCACACACTGGAAACTTTCAAAGGCACTTAATGGATATAAAACTGCAAAGGAAACATTAAAAAATTAAGTTTCTCAACTTGTTTATAACATGGCTCATTTGGTTTTGAAAGCTAGATGTGGAGAACAGGCTATTTCTAGTACTTCAGTGCATCTAACTTAAGCTGTGTTCAACTTATTTGTAAAAATGAACATTCTTGAAGTATTATAGAAACAGAATAGCAAAACATCTTTTGTAAAAGTTTTGATGCAAATTAAAAGCTACATATTGGTTAGGGTTAACTGAGGCTTTAAATTTTGTTATTGGGCTACATCATCAGGATTTGTCAATGTAGTTAGTACATTTAGTTTTTAATCTTCTGGAGAGAGACCAGCAGACTTTACATTTTAGAACTTTACCTTCCCTCTTGGCATCACAGTTTTGGAGAGTCCAGATTATGGGAGCAGTCATAGAATTTCACTAGCATTTGGAGCTTGTGCGTGCCCGCAGCATCGTAGGCATTTCCCAGCAGTTTAGTGTCAAGGTGCCGCCTCGGCACTGCCTCTGCATTTGCTGGGTTGTAGCAGTGGCAGCAATAATAACTATTATAAGAAATTTCTGCATTTACAGACATCGCCACACAAATACACTGAAAAACAGAGACCAAATAGTCATTTTTGTATGGCTGGACATACATCAAATGGCAAAAAACAATCTTGCCAGGTGTTCAGGAATCAAGCTCAGGAGATGTGTTGAACATTTTTAATAAGCAAGGAATCGACTCCAATTAAGACTTACAGGTCCCCCTCACCATGGCTCTTTTAAAAAGGGGGGAGGTGTTTTTTTGTTTGGTTTGGCTCCTTCAGCAGCTTGAGCATCTGTGCTGAATGTGGTGAGAACTTTTGAAAACTTGACTTTGCACTCTCCTGTTACTATCAGAAAGGTTTTATCGATGCCACTCGAGTTAGAGAGCTCTTTTGAGAGTTTAGCACAGAGCCAGGGATCATAGTGTACTCACAACATGCCTACCAAGGCCTGCAGGCCCTGCATTTTTACAGTTACTTCTAAAGAAGACTTGTATAGGAAACAAGTCACCTATCTCCTGCACTGGGGTGACTAATTAACTTAGGTCTCTTGTTCCTAGTTTGTTCAGTCTAACTGGTTCTCTGAATGGATGTTTACACTCTGTAGCTGCCAGTACTATCAAGAGTTCAAGTGCCAGCAACAGTTGGCACTTCAAGGTAGCTCCTAGACAGGCATCAGAAAGCCTCGTTGGTGCCATGTTCTATGCAGTGCTTTTGGGTGGGAAGTAGATTCAAGTCTTATGTAGGTATGTTTACCACAACGTAACTTAGACTACTAAAGATATTAGAATGCATGTGTTTTATATCCCTTTAAGAATTTTGCTTGGGTTGAATGGAAAACAACATTCATACTGCAAGAAAGTCTTCTGATATCAGATGTAGAAAATCTTGAGAATCACCTAGTCCTATTCCTCCATGCTCTGAAATATCCTTGGTGAAGAGACAGAAGGCAGCTGCCTACTCTGAAGTGCTTAGAAGGCTAGTACTATCTGTGGAGCAGTTCAGTATGCATTCATCTGAATTACTGGCTCTTTCACACTAAGGTCAAAAGCTGCCCTAGTTGGTAGCATAAATAGCAAGGTGGGGTTCTCTTGCCACTAACTAGCACTGGGCCTTAGTATTACTTCTCATCTGATCTCATGTCAGACTGGCTAGCACTTGCCAAGGGCAACCTAGGCACAGTGTTGTATTTTGAAAACTTCACTTGGCTGGGGATTAATCATGCATCCTAAAGACACTGGTGACTGGGAATTCTTAAAAAGACATGGATGAATTCTACTCTGTCAACGATGCCTGCCAGCTGTCCAGCCACCTTTGTACCTACCTCTCCAGCAATGATCAGAGTAGTTGTTGCATGACAGATTGGGTTGAACATCACAGAAACTGAATACCTTATACTTTAAAAAGACCTTTCTTTCATTAGGACTCAGTAATATTTCCCATTTATTGTCCTACATCGTCAGCTCTTTGCCATGTCCCTGGCAGAGCCTGGCCCAAAGGATACCTGAGATGGGGAGTGAGAGAAGGAAGGCCTGAGGAGTCAGGACCAGATTAACCATGTTATTACCTGCAGTCGTCTCCTCCAGTGCTGACCACATACTTGTCATCGTAAGAGAAACGGATATTTGTCACATGAGCTGAGTGACCAAAGTAACGTTTATGTTTGGCCTGTAAGAAAAGGAAAATGGAGATAGTTAAGGGATCTTGCTCCTCCTAGCAACTACAGAGCACTTTCAAGACTCACACCCCCATCTCTCCAGAACTTCTTTACTCGGGGGATTCCCACTGGGGCTGAACAGCATCAGCCAGCCAGCCTTTTGCTGACTTTCCTGTCTCATCTTGCTCCACTTGTGGCCATTTTGTCCACCTTCCATCATTCCTTCTCTCAGGTTCCAGAGGAAGATGAAAAGGTTAGTCACTGTCAGATCTTCACAGGGCTGGGACAAGATGCCTGTCTCCCCCAGATACCACCTGGATGTGGCCACTATATCCCACAGACTTCAAAAAAGCCCAGAAGCAGAACAGGGAAGTTACTCGGGAAGACTCACAAATTTTTCTGTGCAAGGAAAATCAAACAGCTTCACCAGCCCAAAATCATCTCCTGTGACAATGTTCAGGCCAGCATGAGTCACACACGCACAGTTGACATCAGCCTTGTCAGCATTTCTTGGCCAAATACCAATGACTTCGTCCCCTAGAATGCTGTTCATCAGGAAGAAATGTTAGGGGGAAGACACATGAGCAAGTCCTGTGGACAGTCATTCCCTCCTAGGGATAGGAGGAATATTTTGCATAATCCAGTATGGCCATGTGGCTCTTCTGTCAAAGCATCCATCTGCCCCCCCCTTCTGTACTCTTGTGCCAGCTCTTACTATTTGTTCTCTGTCTCATTCTCCCTTACTCCATAAAGAAAAGTTATCCCCATCATTGATTCTCTCCCTCTTCCCTCTAGTCCTGAATATGTGAATGAGAAGCAGAAGGGAGAGAAGGCTCCTTCAGACTCAAAAGTTGAATCTTCTCTTGCTGACAGCGATTCTAACCCTCCCATTCCCTTCTGGTGACTGGAAGCTTCACTGTGTACCTGGGCTTGGCCAAGAGAGAGGAATTGGCTGCCCTCTGAACTTCTTGGCTGGGATTAGGAACTTGGAGTGACTACATGAAAAAAGGACTTCACATTTCAAAAGCCCTGATCAGATCAAGCCATCAGCCTATACCAGTGCCAAGAAGTCCCCCCCACCCGCCCCCGGGGGTGGGTTGGGGGGGGGAAGAGCTCTGCCTCTGCACTTCTGCAGATCCTGGCCATCACAAATCCAGAGGCAGAGCCAGGGACAAAAGACTCCTTACAGGCTTCCTTAAAAGTGCTTTCTTCAGTTACCTTGTCCAGGAAGCCCAGGTGATCTTCTCAATGACCATGGCTTCAGTTACCTGCTTCCCCAAGGGGACCTCATGCACCTGGCGCTTATAGGCTCCTGTTGACACCTGCAAGTGGAAGGGAACCCGTGTTCATCAACTTTCTCAGTCCAAAGACTTCCCTTTTGGGGTGGTGTTCAGAGGATAGGCCCAGACTCTGAATCCATAGGGCTTTTCTCAAAATCCAAGGTCAGATCCAGGCCACAAAGCCCAGGACCAGCCCACAGCAAAATTCAGAGCACAGGGTGTTTTTCCATCATTTTCTCACCATTTCCCAAAGTCCTAAGGCAGTGGTTTCCCAAGTGATGCTGACAGCATCATCTGGAAACCTGTTAGAAACAAATTCTCAGTAGCAGACCAGACCTGCCAAATCTGCCATTTCAAGAATGGGGCCCAGAAATCTTAAAGCCCCCAAGTGTTTCTGAAACAGGCATCCCTATCATCAGAGAATGTGTGGTATGGAGATAAGGCAAGTTTTCTCATGGACAGCAGCTGCTGAAATGAATTGTCTAGGACCTGATCTAGAATCTTCTATAGGAAATGGATCACCTTTTGCACAGTCAAGGTCATCTGCTAGCACCTGCCAGTCAATGGCTACTGCCTACATCTTTACCCCACTCTCTTCCCAGGGTGCCTCTACTCCAGCCGCCCAAGCTTTCCTTCTGTTCATGTAATGAGCAGGGCTCTCATGCAGATGGCCTGGAACAGTGTTTCCACCCCTCTGTTAGCTGCCTCCTACAGACCTCAGCTTAAATATCAATTGCTCAGACAGGAAGCAAATCTAAATTCAGCACCTTGCTAAATGCTCCCCAGCACCCTTTACTTCGCCTTTTTCTTAGCATGCAATCACAGACTGTAATTAGATGTATATTTTGTAATTGTTAAATGCTTTATCTTCTCCACAATTGATCAAGTTCCAAGAGACAGGGACCAAGCCCATTTTGTCTGTCCAAACACCTAGCATCATATCTGGTTCAGTAAATAGTTGATGAAATGAATGAATGCATTCTCTCTCCCTTTGTGGTGAATACCCAACGTCAGGCTCACAAATACATAGTATTTGTTAAGTGCTGCAGAAATCTTTCTTTTGATTTCAGCTGTCAGTCCCAAGACTGGGACCCCTCTCAGTTTCAATCTCTCTTCCTCACTGGTCATCTCCTTGGGGACCCAATGATGAGTTCTTACTCCAGATCCACCATCTGGAATTCGGGTCCCAAGCATGGAGGGGCCACATTATCCAGCAGATTTTGGAAATAAAATGAGTAAACATAAGTGATACAAGCCTTTGTGCAGCCCCAGAGGACTAGAAATTAAGAAGTTTTGAAAGGGAGATGGTGAGGAGAAGCTAAAGAGTTTCCTCGTTTTTATTTATTTTTTTTTTTACTGAAAAAAATTAAAGTGCTCTTTACTTTTAAATTTTTTAACTATTCTAAATTTCTCTAAGCCTCTATTTTTAAATTTATAAAACAGAAAAAGTAAAAGTACTTAAAGGTTTCCTGTGAAGAGTAAAACAGCATGTAACTAATATAAACTATTATTACTATTACAGTTATTTTTGGTTGCCCTTGACATAAGTAAACCCCAGGCATACCTGAATGTATTTGCTATCCGCAGAAAAGTCCATCTGAAGGACAAAGCTTGGGATATCTCTGCAGTAGCCAGTGCGGTTCAGACTTGTGCCCTGAGTGAGGTCATAGAAGTCAACTGTGTGCTCAGAAGAACCAACAGCTAAGAATCGGTTGTCTGGGCTGATTCTAGAAAAAGCAATCCAAGAGCATGGCCCATGAGGAGGCTGCTTGGGGCACAATACATGGAGGCTGCTCTTTGATAGGCCTCCCAGGCCCAAAGGCAGTGAAATCCTCCTTGTGACCTATATATGGGCAGCTTCTCCCTACAGTCTGTGGAATTCAACAATTTTTCTGGCTCATATCCCACAGAAGGAAACAACTGTGTAGAATGATATCATATCTTACAAGCAGTTTTGCCACACTCATGTGGAAATTAGCAAAGACACGTCCAAGAATGAACACGTGAGGGGGCAACCCTTCATAGTTGGCTTGTGAAAGTGGCCCTCACATATCTGCTCCTCATTCCAGCCACAGCCCTTCTGGAAGGAACCCACTGGTAGGAGACAGTCTGCTTAGGTACCTGATATCTTGGATGGCAGATTTCCGGTCTCGTTTTTTCCCCCAAACTTTCAGGCTGTTCACCAACAAGATGACAAACTCTCCATTCTTCATGCCAATAGCCACCATGTCCCCGTCAGGGCTGTAGGCTGCACACCTGGCTGCATGGCCCAGGTTCACCTTGTTGAGCAGCTTCTACATCAAAATAAGGAAAGTCCTCTGAGCCCTTGCCTCTTCTCTTGCTGGTCTTCAGGGAAAATTCTGCACCAGGCCAGAATACTCAGGCTGCTAGCCCCTGTAGGCCACTACACCTCCTGCTTCTCATAATAAATGTCCCTCAGCAGCCAGGGTAACAGCATGTTTGATTATAACATCTTGGGAACAGGATGTTTTAGGGCAGAGTTGGGCAAACTTTTTCCGTAAATTTAGGTAACCTGTCAAAATATTTCAGACTACGTGCCACATGATCTTTGTCATAACCACTCAACTCTGCCTTGCAGCACAAAAGCAATTACTGATAATACATAAACAATTGAGAGTGGCTTAATTGTAGAAATAGGTCATTGGCCAGATTTGGCCATTGGGTCATAGATTGACAACCTTTTACTTAGGGGAAAGAATGTGAACTTCAGCACCTGCTAGCATAAATCCTGAGCTCTGTCACTTACTAGCTGGGTATATTTGGGTCGGTCACTTCCTAGGTTTCCCATTTACAAGAAAATTATACTAATATTGGTTTTGGAAGGTTTTTATAAGCATTAACAACCGTGCGTATGAAGTACCTGTACACAGTAGGTATTCAATAAACAACAGCTGTTAATTTAAAAGTTAACAGGAGTGTAACAACTACATTTATGCATTTGCATGTCTATTTATTGACCTTTGTACTAAATAACAGGACAAAAATTTAGTAGCCATTATGAGATAAAATCAGGTATTTTAATCATTAGAACTTAAGTACTTGTTTTGGATTAGATGAAGTGGGAAACATTTTTTCCCCTAGTCTATTCTTTGCTATTTTACCTTTGTCTCAGATGAACTTAAAATTGTTTTTCCAACTTCTTTGGTGGAAGTACAGTAGAAACGTGTGACATTTTAAATTATTTTTAGTCTTTCCATCCAGGGAAGATGTGATTTTTATTTTTTTAGATTTTGTGGGTTCTTCCATATCAAGAGAATCATCATCTCAATTAGATAGATTATCCCTGTAGTATATGAGTTCATATACAGATACACAGCTACAAGACAGGCTGGGTGTGTGAGGGGACTTTTATTATTAGGCTTTCTAACTTAATTACTGACTTTTGGCTAATGGTTTGTCCCATCTGTCCCCCATCTCTGGCTTAACACCAGCCACCTCCTCACTCTGCTCACACTTTGGGGGTATCTGAGTTGGGCAGAGTGAGTCCCTCACCTTGTCAGCCAGGTCCCAGATCCGGGCTGTACCATCGTTGCTGGCAGAGATGAAGATGTCCTTGGAAGGATGTGTGGCCAGGCCCCAGATCTCCCCCTCCATGTGTCCATCAATAAGGATATTAGAAGCAGCATTTTTTTCACCAACTTCAATTATTTCTCCATCTTTGGTTCCTACTAAAATTTTTCCCTGTTATAATCAAAGTACTATTAGAAAGAGGACAACTGTAGGATTCCACTCATATGAAGCACCTAGAGAAGTCAAACCCAGAGAGATGGAAAGCAGAATGAAGTTGCCAGGGACAAGAGGGAAGAGGAGTTGGCATTTAATGGGGACAGAGCTTCAGAGATGGAAAGTTCTGTGGATGGGTGGTTGCACAACAAGGTAAATGTACTGTCACCAGACTGTACCCTTTAAAATGGCTGAAATGGTTTTATGTATATTATGCCACAATAAAAAAAAATTAAAACCACTATTAAAGAAACTTAGGAAAGTTGCTTTGCTATGTTGCTATTAAAAGAGGAAAAGCTTACAGGTGATGTGCTTTTAACAACTAAACTGTCTCAAGTGGCCCCCTCCATCCTTCTTGTTTTGCCTTTTCTTCATCAACTACCTTGGGTGGGTTAAACCCAGAGTTCCTATCATCCAACTGCTACTAGAATATTCCAGGGATTCACAACAAGCTCACTACAGGGTGGGGCAGCCAATCCTTGTTCTTGGACAGCTCAGACATTTAATAAGTTCTTCCTTTCGGGGAACAAAGATCTACTTCCTGACAACTTCCTGGTTCTGGGCCTACTCCTTCCTACGTCTCCCATAATTACTATCCCAGATGACTGTCACTTAACCTTTTTAAAAAAATTTGTTCTTTTTAGTTATATATGACAGTTGAATCTATTTTGATATATTTATACAAGCACAGAATATATCTTATTCTAATTAAGATCCCAGTCTTGTGGACACACAGGAAGGTGAGATTCACTGTGGTGTACGCATATATTCACACAGGAGTGTTACATCAAACTCATTCTGCTGTCTTTCCTATTCCTATCCCCCGATTGTCATTTAACCTTAAAAATAAAATTCCCAGGATGTGGACACCAACTCAGGTTTGCCTTTCTCATGAAGAACGACTAGAAAGCAAATTCTTAGGCTGATACCAATTTAAAAATATTATATACAGAGGCTATTAAATAGAGGTTAAATTATTTGTTTACAAGTGCATCAAATCTCCTGGGGGTATTTAAGAAAGGAGAATAAAGAAAATACACAGGTTGAGGCTATACCCCTGAGATTCTGATTTGCAGCTCAGATGTTTTTGATATTTAGCCAAAGTATGACTTGAAAACCAATGGCCTTGAGCCAGACAGTTTGGCCCCAACATTCTCCCTACTGGCTTCATAATTCTAGACATGGCAAATTATTTATCTGTTTGTAAAAATATAATCAATAATAGCAGCTGACATCTCCTGGATGACCACATGCCAGGTGTAACGAAGGGCACTAACAGATGATGCGAAGTCCTCACAACAATGGCGGGTGAGTGAAGGTTAGGAAACACACCCAGGGTCACCCAGCCAGCTCTTCCTGAGGAAGTCACAGTTTACCCGGGTCCATCTGACTCAGCTAGGCTACACCCCACTGCAGTACAATCCACATCTTGAAGATTTAAGAATTGAATCAACAGACAGTGGCTGGGACCCTTCCCTCTTTCTTGGCCAGGGCCCCAGAGGACAGCGCAGGGAAGACCAGCCAGGCTCACCTTGCCACGGCACACAGAGCGCACACACTCCACCAACTGGCCCGTCTCCAGTTGGAAGGCCCGACAGCGTTTCATCTCCTGGTCCCACAATTTTACGGCACCTCCTTCTTTGGTCCTAAAAAAAAAAAAACCATGAAGAAGCACTCAGCCTGTTGTCCTAAGATTTCCCCATGACCCTCCCCACCTTGTTCTCCCATTCCTCAAGGTCATGGGAACCGGCAGGTTATCCCCTACTGGTAGGCCCTGCTGATGAGCCATGGCAACCTAAAACGCCTCCAATGTACTGTCTTTGCAGAAAAGAAATCTGGAAAGTCAAGACTGTGTTTTCATGACACCAACTAAGAATGTTTCTCTTGTCTTTGTGCTTCATTGTCCAGTTTTTCCTGTGCCACTGGAACTTCTGTTCCTTCTTCTCACTTCTCCTTCCTCTAGAGTTCCTAAGAGTAGCACTGGAAATAGCAGAGTGCCTGTTGCTTGAATGCCTCCGCTTATTTAAGAATACCTTTCACATTTTTAAACTACCAGGAACCCATCCCTCTACTTCTCTCTTACTAATGCGGTTTTGGGCCTCCACCCCCTTAGAGAACTGACAGACTGAACTCCCTAATGCAGAAAAGATAGGAGAATAACCATCTGCATTTTCCCCAAGTTCAGAAAGCTTCTGTTAGTTTCTCCCAAGACATTAACAAAAGACAAATTGCTTGCAGAGGAGCTTCTGCTTACGGCCGTTCTTTCCCACCAGTCACGATGAGCCCGTCCCGGAGAGTGGTGTACATTGTGAACACGGGGCCTGTGTGTGCCTTGGCCACCAGCCGGATGAGAAAGTGGTCCTTCCAGACATAGACATCTCCATTGATGGCACCCGTGAATGTGAGGTTGTTCTGCAAACAAAGGGACATTTCCACACCAAGAGCACACTCAAGAGGGTCTCTTCCCAAGCCACCTGCTTCCTTATTTCTCTTGAATAAGTCCTGTACAGTCAATTTTGTCTTCTTCATTAAGCAAAGCAGAAGAATTTGCAGGAAAATCACAAAAAGCATAAAGCAATTACCTAGCTTTGAAATTCACCCTTTATAGTTGGTTTTGGGCATTTTATTTCCCCACTGAGTGCAGTGCTGTATACACAAGAGCATGGCCTGGGGACATCAGGGGAAGGGCCAGCTTCAGCCCAAGAGGAAACTTTCCTGGGACTCATCTATAAAGTGGATAAATCCACACACGGAGGACCAAGAATTGACTGCATTCCAAAAAGTCCCTGGGAGCTTGCACAGGCTGAGGGACTCCAGAGTCACTTAAGGGTGGCAGCTGAGGGTTGTGTGGAGCAAGAGATTTGGAAAGAAAAAGGACCACCACCTAGCTGTGGAAATTATTCCCAGCATGCTCAGAGCTATGTATTCCAGGTTTGCTTCTGGAACATCTCCTTCAGAGGGGTGTGTGTGTGTGTGTGTGTGTGTGTGTGTGTGTGTTGGTCCTACTCTTTCTGATCAGTAGTTTGAGGAAAAAATGGGGAAAAAAACTCACCCATCTGTACTAAGAAAAGGGAATAATGGTTACTAAGAAGCCAGGAGAGGAGGCTGGGGTTGTGGCTCAATAGTACAGCGCTTGCCTAGCATGTGTGGGGCCCTGGGTTCGATTCTTAGCACCTCATATAAGTAAATAAAATAAAGGTCCATTGAC